TCCTGGATCTGAAATTTCTGGGCACAGAGTCTTGAATTTTTTTCAATATTTGAATTTACTAAACTGTTTTTTAGGTACTACTCATTTATCTCGCGAGAGTTTGTTCAATTTCGCTCCATTTTTTTTAGAATCCGCTTGGAATATTCCGTGGAAATCTATTGATGTGCCATTTTAATTAAAGAAATGTAGTCTCCTAAAATTTCCTTTGATTTCTCCGCTTATTTCATCTAAAACAACCCTTAAGAGGATTTCTTGAAATCATCTTGGAATTCTCTTGAAACTCTTCTTAGCATTCCTTTGAAAATATCTTCAGATTCTCTTATAGTTCTTATTTTTTTTTAAATGCTCAAAATTTCTTACCAAATCATCCAGGAGACTCCTTAGCACTCAACACAAAATTTATTTAAATTATCTAAAAATTCTCTTGAAAATATCTTCAAACTAGTACGAAATTCTGAAAAGCATTTTGTAAGCTATGTTTACAAAAGGTTTCCATGAAATCATTTTTAAGTTTTACATAGTTTTTACTAAGCAGCAACAGTTCCCTAAGAATTCGGTACTCGGTTCAGTTTTGTATTTTTTGATTAGGTTGAAATGTTGCAGCAACGTTCCTTGTGACCGACAATGCCATTTTGCATCTTCATATTTATCACCATTTTGAATTTAGCCTTATTTTTGATAAGGGCCTAAAGAAAAATATCAAGCTTATCTTCAGAAACGTTTTACTCGAAAATTGTTTGTTCGATCGGTTTGGTGTTTTGCGCAATATTGCAGACAATAGACGAGACTATTTGAAAAAAAATATGCACTCTAAAAAAAATCTCAACTTTTTTAAATTTCAAATAAAACCTTAAAAACAATTTTTCTCAAAAAAGGATTTTTTGTATTTATTTATTTGTTGATATGTTTAAGGGGACTAAAACTTCAATCTATTGCACTATAGGTCCAGATGGAGAAATGTTGCTAAGTCAAACCGTTTTCAAGATATAGCGGTTTTGAAAGTAGATGTTTTTAAAATGTAAAATTTGCATTTTTAATGTTAATGGCCAAAAGCTACCAACATTTTAAAAATATATACTTTCAAACTGCTACATCTCGAAAGCGGTGCGACTTAGCAAAATTTTACATAAGTGCTTTTTTATTGAAAATTTAATGTACTTTCAAACCGAAACAGTAATTGGACCATGTTTTGGATATTTTTCTAAAAACTTGAGTTATATAAAATATTATAACTTTTTTGTCCATCATTTCTTCATCTTGACATAAAGAGCAATAGATGGCATTTTGTGTCAATTACAACATATAAATAAATAAAAAAAATACAATTCAATACAATACAATACAATTATTCCAGAATCTTGGAAGTTTCTTCATGTACTGAATATTTAGAGAATAGAAAAAGAAATATTCAAAGGCTAAGAATAAAAATTTATTTTTAAATCCCGAATCTTAATTTATTCTTCTGTGTCCAGGATCTCGAAAAATTATCCAAAATTTAATCATATTGATCCCCAAATCCAAGGAAATTTTGCAAGATTTCTGTAATATATTCTGAAAAAAATAATTTTAGGATCATCTCAGAATATCCTCATCTATCCTCATCTCCTAAAGGTAGGAAGAGATATCTATCTCTGGTATTCCCTTATATTTTTTTCCGTAACACTCATGCAAATCTTCTTAAGAACACTATTTGAATTCACTCTACAATGCTCATCAAATTATCAATAATTACTGCTGTAATTCCTAGGAATTTCCCGAAGAATTGTCCTGAAAATCCACTTGGAGTTCATCTCAGCATTCACTTAATATCCTCCTGAACTTCCCACGGAATTATCTTAAAATATTGTTTCAGTTCTGCTAAAAAATCCCTAAAAATATTTGAATTGCTGCTCCTATGGCACTCTCCTTTGAATTTCTAAAAAAAAGATGACCGAAATATCCTTGGAATACTCCTCTAAATCCGCTTGATATTTTCCTCAGATTTTCTGTTTAAATCCATTAAGATTATTCTCAGAATTTTTATTGTATATATTTCTGAATTACCTTTGAAGCTTGCTCCTTCCCTTTGAATTCAACTATTCGTCTTATTCTTCTTATTATTATTATTTTTATTCTTCTTCTTCGCATTTCAAACTTATTGTACCGCATATTAGCTTATTGCGTGCTCTCAACTTAGTGTTCTAACATGCAATTCTCGCATCACTTTTCAAATAGACCAATGTAACATATCCAGCCACCATTTTGAGAAAATCGAAGTTGAAGTTCTACAGATTATTATTTTATTTGCTTAGAAACAATACATTTTGCGATACTATTTTTAATGTAGTCAATTAATAATAACGTTGAAAATTCAGTAGAAACGCTAAATCACAATTTTCCTTTGAGTGTCATGCTACAATATAGAAAAAAATCACATAGGACGTTTTGACAAGTCAAGTACATCGGGCATGTTACATTGGACGATTTTTGTCAATGACATAATCAATGAGTGTTACATTGGTATCTCATAATACTAGATTCCCTTTCATAGATTTCAGGGTAGAGTACCTAACTTTAGATTGGCCCCGCCTTTGGAAAATGAGCACCAATCATTTTAGGCAGTCCGATTGACCGAAGTTAAAATCATGTACCCATCATTTCAAACTGTACATTGGGCAATATTTGACCTATGATTATCTTAAATAAATGAAAGTAAATTTGGATGGATGTTTTTGTATCACATACAATGATAGAAGAGCAATATTTTGTATCGCTAAACTCGATTTGTCTACATTTGCTACTTAGGACCTTTTGAAATGTGACGCGAGAATTCCACAATTATTAATTGAGAGCTTCCGATGCCTGCACCATTTTTGCATTGGTATAATTGTGTGGCAAATACAACCATATTATATACCCAGGGAAGTCAAGAAATAGACCGAACCGGAATCGAATCCAGCCACCTCCAGCTTTGCTTTGAAGTTGCGCCTTTACCGATTGAGCTAAGAAATTCAACTCACAAATATGAAATTCTCACCTAAGAAAAGTTCTTTTAAGATTACTCTCAAAATTTGTCAGAACGCTCTAGGAATTTCTTAGCCAAATTTATTTGAGATTCCATAGGATTTATACCCAGATTTAATTGTAATTCACCCTAACATAAACTCTATGAATTCTCCGAAAAGTACTATGGAAATTTTCTCCTTATTTCTTGTCTCCCAGAAACTTCTTTAAATTAAGAAAGTGCTTACATTCCTCTTAAAGCTCTCTCCATAATCATAATGGTAGAATCCTCTTTCTTGTCCAAATTTTCTCATTATTCCTTAAGAATGAACGTTGAAAATTGTTATGAATTGTTAATAAAATTGATTTTAATCCTATTCAGGGTTGCCTTGGAATTCTCCTCTACCTTTTTGTGGGCTACCGGACATAGAATTAAGTGAACTTTGTTACAAGTACCCGGACAACCAGAAGTCGTATACCAGCGTACAAATAGAATCGTAAATTGGTCTTGATAAAGTCAACATCGCATGCAATAATGAGATGCGTCGTATGAAGTTTAAGTTAAGTCGCAAAGAATGCAAACTTTCGACCTATTGGCGATGATCCTTTTTTGTATAGAACCGTATCAGAAATAAACTCGGATGAAGTTGTATGGTTTTTGAGACTGACATTGTTATAACAGATGAGATTGTAAATTATGCCTAATCAAATCGATGAAAATTAATTGTCAATTAACTCGTATATGGCTTCTCCAGATAACCACAGATAGCATAGGAATGTACACACTGGATCGCATTTGAGTTTGCCGCAAATCAAAATCCAATAAGACTATAAGAACATTCGATCATGTAGCAATTCAAGATGAGATTAATGCAAAACTGCGATCCAAATGCGATTTTCTCAACTGATCGTAAATGGTTACACCTCTCTATTGCGTAGAGGTGTCGTAGAATCTAAACGGACTCAAGATCCAATTGTTAACATAATTTGATGATTTTTATCAACATCAAAATCTTTCCAAGTCCAAGAAGGCTTTTGGAAGCGCATTGGCACTGATTTAATCCTACGTAATTATAAGTGCTTAAATGGTGTAGTGGATTCAGCAGTGGTTTTTGGATACGAAGGTAAGGTATCGAGACTAGCTGCAAGAAATGTTTTTTTTTTTTTTTTAAATCGATCGTATGATCGTATTTCTGTTATATTTAAATCGGCAAAATCGTTATTGGAGAGCCAGTATGTATGTACATGGCCTCCACTTTGGAACGCATATATCAAATCTGTGCATCTTATACGACTTTTTTGGTTCGTGTGTATATCCGGAATTATAAGAACCAAAATGTTGACTGAGTAATGAACAATGAATTATCGGCTCCGTAAAGCTAACGCAGTTGAGCCTTCCAAACAAACGAGCTAGATAAAAAATACCTTTTTGAGGGTGACCCCAAGCTTATGATCTATAACATGAATTACTATGCTATTGATTTAAAATATTTTCTAAATTTTTCCAGTGATTTGTTGTCACATCAGTTAATTATAGTTTGAGCTATTTGTTTAGTAGTAGCATTAGCTACGAAAGGATATTTTTTTATCGCTAGCCAACAAATCGGTCCTTTTTCGCAATTTGGTGAGACTCATGGACCGGGGACCAACGGCTTTTCTTGCCTAAGAAAGGCGTGATCAGAGATTTTATTTATGCCTCAGAAAATCCCGACGGTGCCGACTGTGATTGAACGCTGGCCCTGTGGAGTGAGCGGCAGTCACGCGGCAGACCTATCTGAATATAAATAAAGTTTAACTATTTCCCTTCACAATCACCATTGGAGAAGCTACTGGGCGTGCCTAGGGGATCAAGCCCCATCCAGAATGATCTAGGACCCTTTCAGATTTTTTAAAAGATTAATATGAATTGAATTGACGGTGCCAAGTACCTTGGGGAGGGGGATTAGCTACACCAAAATTAACTTTTCCCCCATCAAAAAACGAAAATCGCCATGCAGTCAACAAACTGGTCTACTCACCGTGATGGGCACGTCCTGGTTGGTATCGCAGGTATCCAGCTTCCGTCGGAATCGGAGCACCGTGTGGGTTGCGTTTTCGTACCCCAACAGTAGGATGTAGTCCTGCGAGGGATCCACGTGCGGCTCGCCGTTGCTGTTCATCTTGAAGTGCCGGTCCTGTGTGTGTGTAGATAGAATAAGGGAAATGGTTGAGTGATTCATTCGTCATTCCGCGGATGAAGGTTGTCTCCCCAGATAGTGGCGAATAAATTATGAGCTTGAGAAACTACGGCGACGGCGCAGAGAAGCAGAGGTGATAATTAATTCGCACCTCTGCCGGTCTAAGTTCGGAGCGATTTTGGGCAAAATGAGCGTGGGAGGAGTCTCATGCGGCAGCGTATAATTAGCTAGCGTGAACCAGAAACCGAAGGAAGACGGATTATCTTGATCGCCGTTTCGTGAGGCAGAAATTGGATACTAGCGTGAAGACCTGGACATAAATCGATCACTTTATCGATCGTGTCTTAATTAGAGACATCCGAGTGTATCGGAGAGTGTGTCTTCTTTGTATTAAAATGGGATTCGAAAGTTCGTAGAAACGATGAAAAAGAGAAGAGTTTGCTAACGAATGCCAACGACTTGGCGAAAATTTACACAGATAATTAAAACTTGCGCTCCTGGGTTGCTTCGCTGGCTTGAAGGCAGGTGATAGCGATACATGTCAATAATTAGTATTGATGAGAAAAATGTTAAAATTTGTACGACCTGTTCGTGTTTAACATTTTAATTAATGCTACCATAAGCTGCAACTTTCATTGCTAGAGCTATCGATTTCCTCCCCTTTTCCGAGTAATGAAGGCGCGCTATCTTGCGACCATCTGGTGTGACCATTTGCAATCGACTCTGTTTACACCCACGATGACGACGACGACGACGACGACGAAGCTGCTGTTTACCCCCATCATTACTCATTCTCCGCGCTTGACAAAGCTGTCTCGTAGTGTGGATCATCGCCATCACACACCGTTCATCGTCGTCGGCGGCAGACAGCCACTATTCAAACCATCACGCAAATGATTGATTGGAAAAATATCGATTCGCTTCCTGAAGTACAGTAGCAAAACGCGCATGCCGCCCCATTGTCCTTTGCCACAGCCGACAATTATCATGCAATCTGATCCCATCCGTCGTCGTCGTCGTCGTCGTGGAACTAGCAAGAAGCTACCACGCAAGGATATTGGTTTGAATTCCGACACTTTCCATCTCTCACTCTCTCCGCGCCTAGCAGCCGTAGCGAATCTAATAAAGGAAAAGGAAATTGATTTCAATCATAATGATTGTTTTTCGGTGCAATTTTTTCAACGCTGTTGACCACGACGGAATTTCACTTCCTCACTCGGCAAGGATCCAGCATTTTTATGAACCGTCTTCCAACCGATGCGAAACCGATTCCCGGACCAACGACGTGATGGACGACGCCGAAGGTGGGGAAGCATAAAAATAGATTGATTTTCCTTTGTCTATCCCACGTCGGTCGATGGCCAAAAGTTCCGGGAGCCACAGATATGAGTACTCAATTTCCAATGGTCCGTTTTGTTTGCACTCGCACTTTGGAGCTAATCTGCCAGCGTCATCTTGTCCGTCCGTCGGTCCACGCTACCGATCCTGACGACACGGGGGCCAGGATTTGGGTCAAACAAACAGCTTGGCGTGGCCGTCGTCGGTCGTCGGCGCGCTCGGAAGATGATGGACGATGTCCATTACGTGACCGGACCGGCGAGCGAAGTGTGCATAGTTTTCGGTGGCAAACATATAAAGTCCATTGTGTCTATTGTGAGACGAGCTACCGTGCTCGCGGAGCAGGAGAAAGATGAAGTCGGGGAGATTGAAGTCGTAAATTGAACTTTTTTTTTTTGCTCCCTCAGGGGATTGCTTGCGCTTGATGATAGTGTTTGACGGGTGGTTTCCCCCATCGATGTTTACAGCTAATAATCAAATATAAAATTAGCTTTCGGGATTGGATTGATGAAGCGTTCACGTGGAAATTCTTACTTTGTTGGTTGCGATATTCAGCTGATTTCGTTGGAAGAGATATAAAGTGATTGTCTACAGAAGAAGATTTTTGCTTTCCTAACACAGTCATCAAAATTGATGTCGCCAGCAAAGAGAAAAGAAGCAGGTCGTTTCGTTGGAATGTCAAGGTGAGTATGATTTATCTGTCAATCTGTCAATCTGTCAATCTGTCAATCTGTCAATCTGTCAATCTGTCAATCTGTCAATCTGTCAATCTGTCAATCTGTCAATCTGTCAATCTGTCAATCTGTCAATCTGTCAATCTGTCAATCTGTCAATCTGTCAATCTATCAATCTGTCAATCTGTCAATCTGACATTGTCCAATCTGCTAAGCTATCCATTTCTTTGCAACTCGCCTGCCACCATCCGAAGCATTCGGGATACCTCTTGCAAAAGCAACTTTCCCGCAGAATCCCACCTCTCGCGCAGAAATCCGACCAGTTTTGCCTATTCAAAACTGCTCATCTGTACCGCTAGCTTGGAATACCCTCGGGTGCCGCCACGCCACACCGACCGTAGCCCAAGCGTTAAAGCTGTTCATAAAATTAATCGCACAACTTGCAGCACCAACATCACAACATAACATTTACCTGGCTGGCGGTCTGCAGAAAGCTTACCACTCAGGTGCTCGCCGCTCTCCGCTCATGGGGATAATGATTATGACCGTGCTCTTGAGTGGCCAAACTTAGCCAATTAATCTTCCTCGCGCGGTGCGGTCGCTTACGCATTGCTTTTTACAGAGAAGTAAAGCGCTAACTCGCTCCATTCCGCACCGACCTCAAAGAGCCATTCCGAGCCGAAAAGCGACGTACGTAAACTTCCGGCTGTTGGGTCAAAGAATTTTTATTATCTCTTCACTGGTAGGTAGTAGCATTCGCACAGCCATCAACGGCGTGCTTGACTGGATGATCGGGGTGACAGTCCTCCTTTTTCTCCGTCGGTTGGCCTCGCAGCAACTTGCCGGCTTTAGTCTTGTTTCGGTTTTCGTTCTCCGAATTCCTTTGCATCGGGTCGGGCAGTCAGGACTTTACGTCAGCAGGGGGAGGATTTGAAAGACGAGAAAGCTATTTAAAGTATTTTCAAGCTTAATTACACTTTAATCCTTACGCTTTTTCCCCGAGCTTCGGTCGGTCCGTTTCTGTTTTAACTGTCGCGGCGGTTCTTACAATTACTTGGCTGGTGAGCCATGGACGAATGAAAAGAGAAAGGAATATAACTCATTCCGGAAACGAGATCGTGGTTTGGGCGATGAAATATATCGGTATGCCGGGAGAAGGACTAATCCTGATGGGGATTGACCTTTTCCGTAAAAACCACGCTCTTCGGTTAGTCTAGGGAGGTGCTTGCTGCTTTAATTGATATTGAGCTTAAACTTCGGCGGATGGAATTTGTCAGGTTGGAAGGCATAGAAAGAAGCAACAGCTCTTCGAGACTCGATTTGAATTTAAATGTACCTAATACAGAACTCTCGGAAAATGATCAGTAAATCGATAGTACTTTAGTCAATCAATGAATCCAGTGGATCTCAGCATTGACCCACATTGTGAAATTCTATATGCAGTCCAGCGTTGTTTTGACGATCTGACGTTTGAAGTCAATGTTTACTACTCAACTTACGTTTGACAATTTGTACCTCCAAGTTGCGAACAAATTTTCCTATTTGTTCATTTTCTCACACGTGAAAATGCTTTAGGTAACAGATTTTGAGTTCAAACCTTCAGGAATGTTTTGGGTGCCCCTACGAGAGAGACCAGAATATGAAATAATGCTATTTTAAATATTATACGAGAAAGGCGCTTGTCGACGGTAAGTGGATTAATCGAGGATTTATTGCAAAATTTATGTTTTGGTCATATCTCCGGAACCAAACGTTCGATCGGGATGAAATTTGATAGTCAGATGTAAATAAAATAAAACCAATTGCACTTAAAATGGCTCAGCCACCGCCGAAATCAGTGAGTGAGTATTACCATAGAGGTAACTCTAAGACCAGAAGATCCCGAAGAAACGTGCTCATCTTTTTGGCTCAGCTCTGGTACTATCTTTGGTCCCAAACTAATCGATGCACCCCTCGAAACATAGGAAAATCCACGAACCCCTCATTCTATCTGTCAAACGTTCATAGCGAATCAAAACAAACATAGTGTAGTATTAGAATTTCGAGTAGAATGGGGTACGTTAATCGATTTGCTTGGTACCAATAGGCTAGTCAAGTAGTGAGCCAATTTAAAATCGTTAGATTCCACCGGTTGGTATTACGGCTTTATAGCCAAATTTAACTTTAAAGTCTTTGAAAGGATGGTCAACCGGCGGCTAATCCGGAAGCGGCAACGAAACTTATTTCGCGGAACTGGAAAGCTATTTACCCGGAAAAGACGACCACTGTCTAATTGCGTCTCTGTACCTGTCAAAGGAATATGACACCGCCTGTAGACATGGGATTTTACGGACACTGCAGCAATGGCACTTCTCTGGACGCATGTGCAACGTTCTGAAAAGGTTCCTGTCGGACCGCACTTTTCAAGTGGCCTTAGCGGGACAACTCTAACACCTGTCTACATTGGAGAACGGAGTCCCACAAGGCTCGGTTCTGTCTGTGACTTTGTCCTTCGTGGCTATGCAACCACTTTTTTGGGTGGTTCCAAATGGAGTCAAGGTTCTTCTTTATGCCAACGACATCCTTGTGATCGTAGTAGGTTTTAGGTCGAAAGCTTCAAATTGGTTTTAAAGCGGTGGTCCTATGGACGATAAGCATTGGTTTTTCTATATCAGCCAACAAATCAAACATACACGGAAATAAATCCGATCTCCGAAATGAGACAAATGACTCATGATTTCATGAACAAAGCGTATTTTCATGTTATGGAAATACACCATGAATAATATTCATGATATCATGAGCGACTTTTGTGTAACGTAGCAAACATTCCCAGAATCATGAATCATCCGAGTTGAAATCATGATCTAAATTCATGGGTTTAACTTTTAAGCTAAAAATGTTAAAAAAATAAAATAAAGCATCAGACTGGATTCGAACCATCCGAGATCATTATACCCATTCTTTGACCACTAGACTATCAGTACTTGCATAAGATGGAAGACA